ACTTTTAGAGGAGAAACTCCATTGCCACATGTCCATTTATAATTGTTTGAGATTTTCGTATTTCGTTATATTATTTTTAATATTAAAAAAATTAATCTTATATCTATTAGATATTAAGATACTCACGGTGTCCGTCGTCCTCTTTAAGATATTAATTTTATAATAGTTTGAGATTTTCGTATTTCATTATGTGCATTTATAAGAAGACTTTTTAGTTTCTTCCACGTTTGAATTGCGCCCGTCGTCCACTTTTCTCTTTTCCATGTACAAAACCTCTCGTTTTCTTCGCTCCATTTTCTTATCTATATATACGATATTTCCACTTTATCCCACATATTCTACTGAAAAAAGCAAAAACCTTATTATCCAGGAAAAAGAGCCTTATTTAACAATTTCTTAACCAAACTCGTAAAGATCTGTGATGGCCACTCTATCTCGGCCCATCCTTCAGGTGTTCATCAACTTCCGGGGAAAGGATCTTCGCTATGGCTTTGCAAGTCACCTTATAGATGCCTTAGAAAGACACAACATGAAATTCTTCATAGCTGCGCATGAACAAAAGGGCAGAGACCTGAAATACCTCTTTAAAAGGATCGAAGAGGCGACCGTCGCACTGGTCATCTTATCCACCAGGTAATGTTCAGATTATGTAGGCGCAATATAATACCTTTTTCATATATTTTTGTAAAGATACAACTTAAGGAATTGAAGGGCTAGAATATGAACATAGAGTATTCTGAATAGGTATGCAGAATCAAAATGGTGCTTGGAAGAGCTAACGACAGTCATGGAAAAAAGGGAAATGGTGGTCATCCCAATCTTTTATAAGGTGAAACCAGAAGACGTTAAGGAAACAGAAGGCAGTGTTTGGCTATAGGTTTTGGAGACACGCTGAAGAATCCAGCCGTAAAGAGATGGAGAAATGGCAAGTGGCTTTGAAGGCTGTGTCAAACAGGATTGGCTTCACGTTGGACCACAATAGGTATATTTATTTATAAACTCTTTTCTAGCTTTTCTTATTCATTGCTACTTGAACCATGGAAACCCTAATGAAAAAAGTATTAGAATTTTCTCAT